AGAGTGATGTTGAGTGATGCATGTAAATTAAATCTGTGCTCTAGTTTTGTCCAAGTGGACTGAAGGGTGAAAGGTCTAATCTGCGACAGTTGAACCTTTCTGACACAGGGTGATATTCGGTCATATAAAAGCTCGATGTTGAGAGAGAAACGGCAAGAAGTAAGCTCGGTCGCGGGAATTTTCTGTCAAGTATTCACGGCTGCACTGCTGATCAGTATACTCGTAACTGGCTGTTTTCTGGTGGTCAATAATCGGTGGGGGTTCAATCGTGATGTTATAACCGAAACACGATTAAACACGTGGAACCCTGAAGGACCTTACACGTTGAGCAAATGTCATCTGAGAGCACCGGCTAGCAATGGTTACTCCTTTATTTGTGGGGAATGCTCATCGGATGTGCGAGTAGATATACACAGGTATGCTTTTGCTATTTTTTATTACCGTTCATATACCAAGTTTGGGAGCTGATAAATAGAGGTTTTTTTGGCCGTATAGTGAATAATTAATCACGATTTTGTTGTCCTTTCTACTAGATCACGTCATAAGGAAGATGTACAGACCCAATTAATCAATGAGTATACGCTTCTGCACAGGATGACTGGAGACCAAGTCTCTTTCTTACCTGCAAACATCAATAATATGGTATGTATTTAGAATATCGATAGATACATGTCTTTGCATATAAAGTTAAAGTATGGCTTACATGTCGTTACTTTCTTGTCTACCAAGTTGATTTATGGCTTACCTGACGATATACCGCTAGTTAGTGTGCCTTGTCGATAGTTGTAATTCTAGGCGTACGCTGTGCATGCCCCGTTCCGTATTTTGAGCTATACTGTCGCTGTTTGAGTCGACAAGAAATGTAGCCCGTTTGCCAGCAGTGTGCTAACACAACTCCACTCTAAATCGAAATACAGAACGGGTTTAGGTCGTATCGAACGCCAAAAGATGACCAAAACACATACGAAATCTTGCCGGCTCCAGAAAAAGGAAGCAACTGGGTACAGGTCAAGGTCAAGACGATAAAGGGCCAGAGTATTTGCAAACGATTCGCTCAGAGACATAACTAGCGGCATCCACAAATCTTTCCAAGAATGTACGAGCACTCGCTAGTAGTCTATCCTCGGAGCGTCCGGAATTGAACGGTGTGTTCAAATCGAGCGGCATCATATCAAGCCGCCCCATGTGATCTCAGCTGTTGTACAGTGGGATCTAGAAGCACTGCGTAATCGTATAAGAAGTGCTTAACTAATTCAGTTTTCGAAGTCGTCGGCATACGCTGCACATGCAGTGTTCTACAGAAACGCTGCGGATCGTGTATCGGGGTTCATTTAAGAGGGCAAAACATCATGAATTCACGGTGTTACAAATACCGCAGCCGAAAACCGACTGTTTTATATACAGCTCAGAGATAAATTTGATTGGTTTTTTAAAAGTGAATTAAAAGGCAGAGGGGTATTTTCTCTAAAATAGAGTCTGAAGTCTAATAAAACTCTCTTGAGTCCGGCAAGAAAATATAAAGAAATATCTCTTCATGTGTAATTTTCAGAAGAAGGCTATGATTTCTTGACCGACCAAAAGTGCGGAACACTTCTACAACCCTTAGTGAACATATGTATAAGCGGCCCCAAAAGCTTTACAGTTCTACATACACTATCATCACCGCACACTCTAGTGCCTGCTACACCTGTTGGTTGCGCTTCAGTTGTAGCTCTTAAGATGGAATCTCTTGTTGGAGTTGATAAAGCATCACTCCTGGTCTGGGTAAGAAATTGTTAGCGAAGGCAGTTGTTCGCCTGTTTGTACCGTCTTTTTTTGTATTGTAGTTCCATTTCTAAACTTATTTGTATATTCCTGATCGACAGTGATCATGAGGATTCAGTACCTTTTCATTCATGAATATAATTGCCAACAAGACAAGTACATTGTAGCACTGGTATTTTTAACGTATCGTGCGGTCCCTTGTCACGTTTGAATTGTGTGCCACGTGCTCAGAAAATCAAAGATGTGCAACTGAGCGTACAAGTATATATATGTATATATATATATATATACATCCATACATACATACATACATACATACATACATACATACATACATACATACATACATACATACATACATACATACATACATAAATACATACATACAT